TATTCCGAGGACTTCAAGGGCCTTAAACATAAATGGGTGTTGAACTTTGTCGAAAGCCTTCTCCGCATCTATCGAAATGATTATGTGGTTTTTATTCTTCTGTCCTTTTTCATTTTTAATTTAGATTGTTTTTGTTCTTAGGTTGTAGAAGTTCTTTATATATTTTAGATATTAATCCCTTTTAGACGTATGCATACAGGATTTGACACCCCATTGTAAGTAGTGGAACCAGGACTAAAACCAAGGTCTGTCTGATTCTAAAAACTTGTGCTCTCACCTGCAGGAAAAGCTTCAGTGATCATCCTAGAGAAAGGAGTTTCTCTAGAGAAAAGAATTTCCATTTCTTCTTCCTCTTATTCCACCATTTTCTTCTTATTGCAGTTGACATGTGTATAGATTTTTTTTCTGTCTCCTTTGTTCTTTGTTTACTATTCCTCTAAAACCTTTGGAAGCACACAGAAGATTCTTGGTAGGCATTGGGTTTTAGTGAAATGAATGAATTGACCTAATCCATGCATTGTGAATGCAGTCAGTGTATATGTCATTACAAACTGTGGTAGATTTAGTATGTCTGTCTTTACTGTGTTATTGGCACTGTGTCTATATTAGCACAACCATTAGTATGTATCTTGCTAAAATATTGAAGTTGAATTAATGTAAAAATTATTTTATTTTTGGGAAAATCTCTTCATTGTTTTTATGAAGTCATTCTTCAAGAAAAATGCTTAATATTTTTATATCAACTTCATTAATAAATTAAAACTATCTTTTTTAGATTATTGTCTCAGTGTATGGAGTATTTTGATCTGAGGTGCCAGTTATTAGATGACCTAACAAGTAAGTAAATATGTCTAATTTTGATTTGTCTGGGGGAGGGAATGAACAGGAGTTAGAGGAGAAAACCAAACGAGCATTTCTAATCTGACTTAAGGTATCTCCAGGGTAAGTAACATTCTAATTATTGTATTGAATTTTAATGTCTGTTTTCTTGAAAACAGCATATAAAGCCAGATGTCAGTGATCATCTCCTTTTATATACCCTGCCACTAATGTATTGCAAAAATTTGTTTATTTAAAAATTGTTCAAAAATTAATAATGTAAGAAAATAAATTCAAAAATAATTTAAGGTAATAAATAAAAACAGTTAAGCTTGTATTTTAATTGCACTGATGAAGTTTTTAGGAGAGGTCTTCCCCTCTAATATAGTCCATTCTGACAATTTTTAAAGGTTGATCATTGAAACAAGAAGAAATCTATTGAGGTATATTGCTACTAAAGAAATAATAATAAATAAATTACTTTACATTTTCTGCACTCACTGTTAAATAATACAAATGTATAGTGGAATGTTGTATGTAATTTTAGTTTTTAAAATCAAGAGCTTGTTAGTTTATTCCCCACTTGCTAAACAGTTTCAACTTACAGGAAATAAAATACAAATCTGAATCTATAAAAATGCAGGTCAGGAAAGAATATCCAGGCCAACATATCAACATTAAAGCTTATGCAAAACACAAGGCTTGTGTGTGTGCAGGCTGCAAAACTACATAATTAGAATTTGGTAGTGAGGTTCCTGAGGACAGAGGCAAAAAGGAAAGAGCATCTGGCTGATTTTCTTAATACTCCAGAAGAAGAAACAGAACATTTTCTCAAAAAAAAACAAAAAAAAAAACCAAATCTTTTTCCCAGCAGTTAGATTTAAAGGAAATTACACCCGTAGGACTTCATGTAATGAGCACATAAAGGCACAGTGACTGCTAAACCTCGGCGGGCGCTCTCCAGTGCGGTTTCGCTGTTTGGCTGAGACTTTGAGTTGGCTACCCATATACAACTTCAGAATGCACACGCCAGTTATTCGGACAGGCCTGCACTGTGTTGTTGAGTGCTAAATGAGGGGTCCAGGTTCCCTCACTGGGATATTCAGGGCAGGCTGGGAGTGTCTTAAACAATATTGTTGGTATGTTTTCTTTTTGCTGTTGTGTCCTCAGCACATCTTGCCTGGCACCCAGTAGTGCTGGTGTTGTCTTAGCCCCCTTCATAATAAGGAAACAAAGACACACAATGAATAAATGGTAAAGATAGGAGTCACAGTTGTTGCCAGTCCAGCTTTGACCCTGAAGTACTTTTCACGCACGCTACACCTTGACTGCTAGTTGCTGTAGTGCAATACAATTACGTGTGGTCACTCCTTTCCAATCCCAGCTTCCATTCTGGGTTCTTACTGTAAATTGTCATTTGGAGGGCAAAGTGAAATACTTAGCCCAAAAAAACAAGTTACTTCTTCAGAGTTTGGCTCACTGCTTTGAAAATCTGGACTCCTGCTGCCAGGCGCTTGACTTCGCTCCTCTTCACAGACCACCCTCTCCTTGGTTTGGGTGACACTCATGCTGCCTGTCCTCCTCTTGCTCACCCGCTCTTCTTTGGGACATCCTAGACACCAGCAAGCCAGAGCTTCTTCAGATAAAGACTGTCTCCTTCAGTTCTGTTCCCAGCACACAGACCAGTGGTCTGCCCCGAGCAGTCATGCAACACATGTTTGCTACAGCTGAGGGAGGGCAGTGGCCAAGGGGAGGAATGCACGTGCCTGAGCCTCTGTGGTCTTCGTGGGCAGCAGCTCTGCCAGCTATTTATTTGTTTGTTTGTCTGTCTATCTGGCTATCTATCTATCTCTATGAAGTACAAGGTAAGAGGCCTGGCTTTGCTTACTTTCATCAGAATTTTGACTGTGAGAAAGTAAATCCTTCTCTTTTATTCCTCTTAGCTTCTGAAATGGAGCAGTTAAGAATCAGCCCAGCTACTATGCTTGAAGATGAGATTACCTGGCTGGATAATTTTGAGCCTAATCGCACTGCTGAATGTGAAACCAGTGAAGCAGACAACATCTTACTAGCAGGACACTTACGACTCATTAAGACCCTCCTTTCACTCTGTGGGGCAGAAAAGGAAATGCTTGGTAATTATTTCTTCATCTTCTCATGTGGCAAAATCCCTCTGTTTTTAGTTACTGCCATGTGCTCATGTGTAGCTGTGAAAATAAGATAGGTGTCATGTTCCATAGAAAATTGACTCTAAGGACAATAGGAGAATATCTAGAAATTTAGTGGCTAATAAATTTAAGATACACTCACCATTTGTAATTAAACCACATAGAGAATTTTGCAGTGTTAAAAACAGATTACATAACTAATAGCCAGGCTTAAAAATATATACAATTCAAAGTAGCTTTTTCTGTTTTGTTATGTACTTTATAAAATAGAATCTATTATGTTTCTTTTAAAGGTAATTTCCATCTGGGGAGGCAGCCTTTAGCTCCTCCCCCAAGATGGCAGGGTACATAAGATTCTTCTGGATACAAATATAATTTGTAAAATATAGTCAACATTACAAGTTACAGTGAGAAAATAAATTATAACATTGTTAGTCTTAGCATACATACTAACTTTATAAATTTTCTTGGCAACTGGGGATACATAGAAAAGAGTGATTCTTAACCAGAGTGAGAAGGTACATCCCTTTTAAAAGTTTCAAAAACCCTTATATGGACTCCAGAGTAAAAATTATTCACTCAAGCCATTCTGCTGTTTGGTGTTTTTGGCATTTGTGTTTCTAAAGTGCAAGTTTCACTCCTTGTGTTCTGTTACAGTCCTATAAAGGAAAGTACCCTCTCTTGTCTTTGTATCCTGTCCCAACTCTCCCATCCATCCCCCTACCCTACCCTGACCACACAGAGCTTTGCCATACTGTAAGAGCTCAAACAAAAAAGCATCAAGTTAAAGTGAAGACCCTGCCATAGAGTGGCTTGAGTGTCTCTGCTACTCTCATGTGAAAGTGAAAGACAGGATCTTTGAATTAAAATGTGTTCATCCTCAACGTGAATGTTATGCTCTATTCCAGGTTCATCACTCATTAAACCATTGTTAGATGACTTCCTTTTCCGAGCTTCTAGAATTATTTTAAATAGTCATTCTCCAGCTGGCAGTGCCGCCATCAGTCAACAGGACTTTCATCCAAAGTATGGAAAATGCACGTTGTGTTCAGTTTTGGTAAAAATTCTAATTCGAAACTTTGGTCCAAAAAGATTGTTTTAACTTGGAGTTTGTCTTCCATCTTGGGGTGTATAGCTTGCAAGATATTTTCTACTGTATAAAGAAATGCATGTATAGAAACTTAGTATAATAAAGCCTGCCTCGCACTTAGTTCAGTATGTGCTAATCCAGGTGTGCTGGCGCTATTATCATCATCCAAGTAGAAGAGTAGATAATAGTGTGGCCAACTTGGCAGTAATGAGTTGCAGGACAAACTGAGTGGACAAGAATTATGTCCAGGGCCCTCCCTGGTGGCGCAGTGGGTTAAAGCACAGCACCTAGAAGCTAAAGCCACTAAAGCATGAGTTCTATCCCCGCCTGCCTGGGAGGTGACCACATGGCGTGGCAGACCTCTCCTGGCCAGCCCGCTGTTCCCCTCAGCAGTGTACTTTGTTGATCTGCCTGTTCTGCTCCCCACTCTGTCACTGGTGAATCCTCTCACCCTCTGCATCTCTGGCCTGTACCCCAGTTCTGTATCAATCAATAAATAAATCTTTAAAAAAAAAAAGAATTATTTTCAAAGTAAAAGTAAGTGATGATTGTTGAGCGGTCTAGGAGAAAAGGATAGGCGCTTGAGTGCATGAACCTGTGCTGTCTTAATAATCAAAGCTGCTAGTGGTTTATTATGGTGGTGATATCAGAATCAAATTTTGGTTAAGTCTTTATGGTTGGAAATTTGAAAGACCCCTTTGAAATACTGACCCTTCTTTGGCGATGGTAGTTTATGCTCTTGGACATAGGAGACAGCTACGAGCTGCCCTCTTATTTGCTCTGGTTTTAACTTAATTGTTCTTCTCTCATGAGAACCAGAGTTAATTGAGTAATCCTGAAGAAACTGAGGACTTGGTATTTAACCAGTGAAAAACATTCCCATACAGTTTCAGTGGTTATTGAAATGGTCAAGGCTTAGTAAGTAGTATTTTATGAAATCTGAAGAGGTATCTTATGTGTGAATATATCTGTAGGAGTTCCTTACTAACAAAATCTGTTTTTGGTAATAAACCTTCATTAGAACCTTGTGGTATCCCTCAGACTGAGTCCCATTCCCACCCCTGCCCCAGCTTATTCTGGAAGATTTGGTGCTAGCTTATTAAACCAGCAGAAAGACATGAGTATTTCCATTTTTGTGAACAGAGAAAAGAAATCTTAAGTAATTCCATTGACATTTTTATTTGTGAGTCCATCCCTTTTTATTTGTTAAAAGTTACACCTCCATTGGGCCCTCCCTGATGGCTCAAGCTAGCCGCAGCTGCTTCAGTGCAAGTTCAGTCCCCACCGCAGAGGTGATCCACATGACACAGCAGACCTCTCCTGTCTCACTGCTCCCCTCAGCATTATACTTCGTTGATCTGCCTGTTGTGCTTCTCACTCTGTCTCTGGTGAATCCTCTCACCACCCCTGCACCTCTGGCCTGTCCCCAGTTCTGTATGCATAAATAAATAAATCTTTTTAAAAAAAAGTTGTATTTCCATCAACAAGGAGTTGTATTTTTAAATTATGTATGGTGCCTTGTCTAGAAAAGAAAATATTTCATTTTTCCCCCATATTCTGAATGGTGTTTCTATAATATCAAAGTGACTCCCTGCCTTCTCCCATTTAAACCCCAAAACCAGAACGATTCAAAATATACAGAAACTCTTTTCAAAAGTAAATATGCTATTCTCATATCACAATGCCAAAGGACTTCTTCATGTGTAGCCTGTGTGTACAGTACCTCCCTACTTGTTCTTTACCTGCCCTTAGCAGCCCAGTGCCAGCTCCATGTCCTCTGTCCTCAGTGCCTGGCACAGTGCTGATCTGAGAGCCCTCTTGAATATACCTCTTATATCCAGGTCTTCAGTTTTCACTCAGAGGTTTGATGTTCTCTTTTCTGTGTATCCTTATTCCTTCACGATCTCCTTGGTAATGTGGTGCTGGCATATGGGATAATGGGAAATTACGATCTGCCCCTGCCATGATTTCCACTACATGTGAGCAGGGTAGGAAACCTTTGATTCCCTGTAGAATGCTTGTTTAGATCTCCTCTTTAACAGATTGATTTGGCAAAATTTGCTTCTCTGTCTCCTTTTTTCCCCCAGCAAAATGGAAAGTTGATTTGTGTCCTTAAAGCATGCTTTATATGCAGGCATAGATAAAATGTTTTCAAGCATCTATTCTCATTTGTGTAGCTTTCTTTTTTCTGCCATACAGACATTTGAATTTCAGGGTGTTAGCTACAAAAACCTTTTTATCCTACCTACTTTAATTGAAAGGTAGGTATTCTCATGTTATATTTTTTATAAAGTTTTTGCTTTTTTTCCTCCATTTTTGTTGATCTGTCCCTTAGATAAGTGTTCTCTGGAGTCATAAGTGCAATTTATTATCAGGCCAGGAAGGCAGTAAGTTCTAAATCATATTCATCCCTCCTGTATTAAAAATCTGTTCCTTTAACTCTCCTGCACTGCTGGTGGGAATGCAAACTAGTACAACACTATGGAAAACTGTTTGGAGGTTCCTCAAACTGCTAAACATGGAGCTTCCCTACGACCCAGCAATCCCACTCCTAGGTATCTACCCAAAAGACACAAAAACACTGATTGAAAAAGATACCTGCACCCCCGTGTTTATTGCTGCTTTATTTACAATGGGAAAAACATGGAAGCAGCCCAAATGCCCAAAAGTAGATGACTGGATTAAAAAGATGTACATATATACAGTGGAATATTACTCAGCAACCAAAAAAGAGAAACACATGTCTTTTGCAGCAACTTGGATGGAGCTGGAAAAGATCATGCTTAGTGAGATAAGCCAGAAAGAGAAAGAAAAATACCAGATGGTTTCACTCATAGCAGGAGTATAATGGACCAGGCGAGAAAATAACAAGAATAATGAACAACCATATACCAGAGACATTTTGTGGGGGTGGAGTGGGGAATGGGATCAAAAACGGGGGGTAGGGAGGGAAGTGCACAGGATTATGGTGATGGCACACGGGTGACTTGGTGATGGGGAAACCCGTGGGGATTACAATTGAGATGGAAAAAAAAAAAGTACAAAATGACGTAAAAATAAACTGTTATTAAAAAAAAACAACCTAAAAAAAAATCTGTTTCTTTATTAAATAATACATTACTAAAGTTCTGCCATCAGAACTAACTTAACCTGTTTGAGTAATTACAGCCTTATATTATCATTTTAAATGTTGCTTTAGTTAACAATTTCAGGTTGCTCACTGTTAAAATTAACTTGTGTCTTTTGTTTTAGATGTAGTACGGTAAATAGCAGATTGGCAGCCTATGAAGTCCTTGTAATGTTGGCTGATAGTTCACCTTCAAATCTTCAAATCATTACAAAAGAACTCCTTTCTATGCATCATCAACCTGACCCTGCCCTTACCAAGGAGTTTGATGTAAGTGTTCTAGACTTTAATGCACTTATATTTTTTAGAATGCTTAAATTTTAAGCATAAAATTTTTAAACTAAAGTATATATTATCCTAATTAAAGAAAGGTTTTTTTTTTTTGCTTATTATGTTAACATATTCCAATCAGTTATAGTTTATAGTGTACTATAGTAACACATTACTAAATGGCACTCTTTAACTCCTTAAGAAGACACATTTTCAAGTCAGCTGATAATTGCTCTTAGTAAAAAGATCATTTTCAGTCTTTTTTTTTTTTTTTTAAATAACTGCTTGGTACAATGCCAGGCACTAGAGCTGCAAACTCAAACAAGCATTGGCTCTGTTACAGGACAGCCCATACTCAGTTTAGCAAAGGTTTATTGCGTGTACTCTGAGCTAAGAAAAATGTTAGGCTTTTGGAACTCAATTAAGAGTTGAATTTACTGTAGTGTTGTAGACCAGTGTTTCCCCAATAAAAGAAAAAAGATTAAAATTAATTTTTTTCTTAAGTCTGGGATTATACTAGCATAATTAAGAAAATAATTGTTTTATGTAATTGTTTTTTCAGCACTATGAGCCATTCTTGCTTTTTTTTATAACTCTTATCTATGCTTCACACTACAAATAAATCCAAGTGTTAGATTATATCCCATTCTTAAGTGTGTGCCTGAGGTTCATGAAAAGTATGTAATATTTCCCATTTCCTTGTAATCCACAACACTGACAGGTTTTTGTGCTTTGGGTTAATAACCACATGGATGCCAGTACTTATGTATGCAGATAATGTGATTCTGATCTTGGCAGCAGAAACAATTCCTAGGGCAACACCATTTTGGGGTGTGTCACTGCAGTATTCTTTTCTGCTTGGACAAGTGCTGTGTTAAACTTTACCTAAGGTACCTTTCCTGGATGTTTTTACCAGAAAGAGAATGAGTCTTTTTGAACTTCAGAGCTGGTCAGGATTCTTTACGAAACGATAAAAGTTTGTTTAATTCATTTATCTACTTTCCAAATACTACCTCAGTTGTAAATACATAGTCATGTATTTATTTGATTAATGCTTTTACATTTTATGTAAGATCAGTATTACCTATTATTACTACTTGTTTTCACTTGGGTGAGAAAAGTCTTTAGAAATCTGTCTACCCTACCCTAGATTATCAAACTCCTTGAGATTGGGGACCAAGGACCTTTCTGCTTTTGTGTCCATGGCATAGCACTGCCACATAGTTATAGTATTTGTTGAATGATAATCAAGTTAGTAAATACATGATTACAAAATGGATAAACAAGTATACACTATTTGCTAGCTACTTTATCAACTAAAAAAGGGCACTGACCTAGTAATATTTATAGTTCTCTTAGCGCCTACAAGGTTACTTCATGAATATAGGATTTGCTAGCATCACTCATAATGCTGGATGACCTGTGAGGATCTCTCTTTCTCTTGAGATAGTTCAAACATCTGTAAGAGAACATGCTGATGGCAGAGGTACTAACATATTCTTTATGTTGCTGCATCCCTCCCTCCTAGTACCTCCCCCCCGTGGACAGCAGGTCCAGCTCAGGGTTTGTGGGCCTGCGGAATGGTGGTGCCACGTGTTACATGAATGCCGTCTTCCAGCAGTTGTATATGCAGCCTGGTCTCCCTGAGGTGATCCCTTCCTTTATCCTATTTAGTCTGATGAATGATATGTACATCACCTAAAAATTATCTCATATGCTTATGTTGCATTTCAGAGTTCACCATAACTAGACATAATTAGGTATTCTTTAGTAGCTCCTGAAGTCTCGATAGACATGTTCACAGTCACAGGTTGTTAGAAATTGGCTATGGAGTGTACTGCCTTGGGACAGATGGACTGGACCTAACATGATTGTTGAACTCCTATATCATTTTCAAATTCTATTATAAAAATCTGTAAAAATTTTTCAGAATTTAAGAAATACTTAAACTGTATCAACAACACTTTAATAATGCGATAATAACATGTGATAAAAGTCAGTGTTTTGAGAATATTCTGTATGTTATTGTGTTGCACTTATTTCTTATAGAAGTTTTGGCATTACTAGTTCCATTTTTTTCATAGTTAAACACAGTCATAGAGGTGATTTATGCATGCTTATACCAGTTAGGAAATAATGAAGATAAAACTATGCAGAATTGTAGCCATATCCAAACATACATAGCATTCTAAAAGACATACATATGTCAAGGACTTTTTTTAAAGCAGTTAAATAGTCCTAACTTACTACATTTATTTCTTTTTAGTCATTACTTTCAGTGGATGATGACACAGACAATCCAGACGATAGTGTATTTTACCAAGTGCAATCTCTCTTCGGGCATTTGATGGAAAGCAAACTGCAGTATTACGTACCTGAGAATTTTTGGAAGGTATTTCATCCAGCAACTTTTTAGACTTAAAGATGTTATATATTTGAAGTGCAGCTGCATTCTTTGCCTGGTGATAATTGTCTCTAGTCTTTAAATTCTGGACTAATCCATTGCCAAGATTCAATAAAAGAATTGACTATATCACCCTTCTTTAAATTGGTGCCTGATTTCAGATGAAATATCTATTTGTAATTTTTAGTGATTCGCTGATCTCAATATAGTTATTTATAATTTAATGGCTTGCTGTTCTTAATTATTTCTCATGATTTCTATTTTAGCTCTTTGAAATATTTGTTGAAATCATTGCTCTGAATCTATGTAGATTTCACTAACTCATGTTATTTTTAAACATTTCTTTACTGTGTACTATTTCCTTGTATTACTCCATTGGTTGGTTGGCTAGATTCTAAGGCAGGAACTCTCTGTGCCATAGTCTTAGATCTTACCCAGTGTGGTTTCATAGAAATGTAATTACAGGGGCCCTCCCTGGTGGTGCAGTGGGTTAAAGCACAGCACTAAGAAGCTAAAGCCACTTCCGCTTGAGTTCGATTCCCACCTGCCCAGAGGTGACCACATGGCGTGGCAGACCTCTCCTGGCCAGCAGTGTACTTCGTTGATCTGCCTGTTCTGCTTCCCACTCTGTCTCTGGTGAAGCCTCTCGCTGCCCCTGAGCCTCTGGCCTGTATCCCAGTTCTGTATGCACAAATAAAATAAATCTTTTAAAAAAGAGCCAGGAAAAAGCATGGGCAGCAAAACAAAACCAGTTTCACCACAGATCAGTGTCTACACCCAGCAGTGGATTTGGTTGTTAAAAGCATTTAGGTGCTCTTTTATATTCTTTTTCTACTAAATTCAGAAACTGCTTCTTCTCCCTTTACAACATATTTAATCCTGTTACATAGATTTTCAAGATGTGGAACAAAGAACTTTATGTGCGGGAACAACAGGATGCATATGAATTCTTCACTAGTCTCATTGATCAGATGGATGAATATCTTAAGGTAGAAAAAAAATTCATTTTCCTCAGATTCTCTCAAGTTCTATAGTATGAGAACAGCATTTTAGGGTTTGCGATTATAATGAAACCAAGAAATCAGATATCAGTCATCATTAATACCAACTGTAATTCAAATCTTCTGATTCTGAACATTAAACCAGCTCACTAAAGTTACAGAATTCATTGCTGCTTACTTCATCTGACACTTGGCCAAGTATTAGCAGCCATTTGCAGCTACATAGCCTGTGCTTGTGCGTGGAGATACCTGTCCTCAGTGTGTTCCGTCAGCCAGAGAACTGCTGCTGTGTGCAGAGCAATACTAGATTAACACGTTTGGGTGAGGGTCAAATCCAAAACTTTTTACCCCTCCCAGCAAAACACGTAACACTCCTACACAACATTGCTGTCCGGGTGCAGACAACCGTCACTACAACACTGCGTCTCCTCTCAGCAGCAGGCAGTTTATCCATCTCACTTCTTAAATTTAGAGCATTCTAAAATGCTGAAAAAAGCAAAGATTGTGGAGAAATGCTATGAACTGGCCATGATGGTTCAGAAGGGTTGGAGTCCTCAGGACACGCTGCCCTTCCTCAGCTGGGGCTGCCCAGCTTGGTTTGTCCTTCTCTGACCCTGGCAGCGCTCCGACATTGGTCTCAGTGGCTCTGAGTTCCCAGCTCAAACTACCAAGACGAGTCTTCTCATTGTGGTGGTTAAATTGTAGTCCATATTTTAACTTCAGTCTAAAGAAATATCTGTGTAATTAACTTATGAGCTCTGAGTGCATCAACTGAAATTTTAAATTTTTATTCACACAGAAAATGGGAAGAGACCAAATATTTAAGAATACTTTTCAGGGCATCTATTCTGATCAGAAGATTTGTAAAGACTGTCCTCACAGGTCAGTAACAATATCACTGAAATAAAAAAGATACTTGTCATTTTTAAATGATCCTTGTAGTATGAGTTTCACATTTGTTGAGAGACTTGGAGCTATATCTCAATGTATCTATAAATATTTGTCTAATTAAAGTTCTTTGATTTCCTTTTCTAAAATTTCTTTGTTGAAATTCATAATTTTAAGCAATCCTGAATTGTCAAAAATTAGTATTTTTATTTGATAATGTAAAGGATGAGGGAAATATATGCTAATTTCATTAATGAGAAATTCTGTATTCAGTCTTAGGTTTGGTAGTAATTAAAAATTTCTGACTTCCATTGTCGACCATGATTTTTCTATCTCCTAATCAGATATGAGCGTGAGGAAGCTTTCATGGCTCTCAATCTTGGAGTTACTTCTTGTCAGAGTTTGGAAATTTCTTTGGACCAGTTTGTTAGAGGAGAAGTTCTAGAGGGAAGTAATGCGTATTACTGTGAAAAATGTAAAGAAAAGGTATTAAATTTGCCCTTTTTTAAAAAAAAGATTATTACTCACATAATTTGCTTTTATATTTTATGTAAGATCAATATTAGCTATTATTACTACTTGTTTTCACTTGAGTGAGTAAAGTCTTTAGAAACCTGTGAACTTTGTGTTATTTACTTTGCTCTTTCATTTTCCTACATGAAAATAATTGGATTTTGCTTTTCCTTAGAGGATTACAGTGAAAAGGACCTGTATTAAGTCTTTGCCTAGTGTCTTGGTGATTCACCTAATGAGATTTGGATTTGATTGGGAGAGTGGACGATCCATTAAATATGATGAACAAATAAGGGTAATGTTTTTTCCTTTTATAGTTTCAAATTTCATCTACATTGTAAAAGGCTGTGGTTTAGACTTCTGAGAATACACAACCCTTGCTGCTAGTGAAACAGGCAGATCTGTAGTAACTCTTTACCGTAAAGTAAAATATTTTTCGTAAGGTTCAAGCAAAAACCTACATATACTTCCCCAGACTTGTGAGATCTTGTGATTGAATTAGGGAGGTAGTCCTAGCTTAAATTAGGAAAACACATCACTCCTCCTCTCATCTCACTCAGTTGGGTACTAGTTACTAATTAAATGTGACCTTTTTGCTTCTTAATAGTTTCCCTGGATGCTGAATATGGAGCCTTACACAGTTTCAGGAATGGCTCGCCAGGATTCATCTGCTGAAGTTGGTGAAAATGGGAGAAGTATGGATCAGTGTGGTGGAGGATCTCCACGAAAAAAAGTTGCCCTCACAGAAAACTATGAACTTGTCGGTGTCATCGTGCACAGTGGACAGGCCCATGCCGGCCACTACTACTCCTTCATTAAGGACCGGCGGTAAGGGCTCGGCCTCCTCCTGTCCTGGGGCAGTTTCTCCCCATAGCCCCCACCTGCCTGCCTTGTGGGCACACAAGGCACAGCACTCCTCCACCCAGCCCCACTGTCCCTCCCCCGGCTCCTTCTGTCATCCACACTTGTGGTACAAGGAAGTTTTACATTACTCATTGGTCTCATTTCATACTGAATTTGTTAAAACTTCATACAACTGTTTTTACCCCTTCTGTTGATATTTGAAAAGTTGTTCAGAAATTGGACACTGTTGCTGTATTTTTCTTAGGGTTTTTCAGATGGAAATGCATAGACAGTGGGATGTTTGGTTTTTGACCTTATAATGTTTGTCATCTCTGTGACCTAGGGGGTGTGGAAAAGGAAAGTGGTATAAGTTTAATGACACAGTCATAGAAGAATATGACCTAAATGATGAGACTCTGGAATATGAATGCTTTGGAGGAGAATATAGACCAAAAGTTTATGATCAAAGTAAGTATTTACAGATGGATATTTTCTGCTAGTTATCTCTTACAGTTTTCAATCAAATTATAGCTTTCCATACAAATATAGTCGATATAGTTATTTTTACATGCTGCTGCTCTAGCTGCTTAGAGCCACAGGCTCCTTAATAGCTAAAACGAAATGTTCACACTTCTAGCAAAAATTTTATAAATCTGTGCAATGCCTTGGCAGGGCAGAGGTGACAAATCAGGAGAAGTATATTAAGAGAAAGAAATTAATATCAAAAAGAAATTAATATCAAACTAATGTAAACAATTTCAACCTTAAAGAATGTTTTCAAAAACAGTAGTTATCCACTAAAATTTTTACTTCTCCTTTTCACTTACATAGAGGTATGATGAACTAAAGAAGACATTTTTAGAGCTGTGTTTTCAAAACCAACTTTATTGTATCAGATGGCCAAGAATCTTTCTACAGCTTTTTCCCTCAAAAACGATGAAGAAGTCCAAAAGCTTTTTGCACAGACCTTAGCATTTCTACACTTGATCTTAGCCAAAAGGCTGAGAAGCGATAGATCTTAGCATTTCTGAAGCCTGGTTTTGAAGTATTCTAGGAGTGTTTGTAAATTTCTGTATGTATTAGTTCCACTGTATTAGATTCTCATGCAGTACCATGTTGTACTGCATGTGTACCATGTGTAATACAGCACTTCATTAATGTTGGATAGGCTATCATTGCTGTTCTTTGCAGAAATGCTTCAGTGAGGCCAATTAAAATCTAAGCCTGTGCCTTAGGACTATTATTTAAGTATGACTTGCCACTTAAGTGTGGTATACCTGCTCAGGAGCACGTGCCTTCTTTCTCCCGCTCCCTCATCATACAGCTCCCACAGCTCCCTGATTCTGCCTTGTCTCCCAAGGGACTCTCTGCAGTACTCTGAAAAGACATTTTGCTTATACTTTGCATTTAGTAAACTTAGTAAGTAGTTACTTGCTAGAAGATCTGAAGGTCCTTTGTTTCCTATTCTCAAGACAAGGAAAAATTTTTTACTTACAAAGGCTTCTTTCTTGATGTCTTATAAAGCAAACCCATATACTGACGTACGCCGAAGATACTGGAATGCCTATATGCTCTTCTACCAAAGGGTGTCCGATCAAAACTCCCCAGTATTACCAAAGAAGAGCCGTGTCAGTGTCGTTCGGCAGGAAGCTGAGGATCTCTCTCTGTGAGTTTCTCTCCTGTGTGGTTTGCTAGTGCTTTGCTTTCAGTAAGTGGTACTGTAAACTTATAACGTATGCTATTTGGGATTTAAAGACAGTGTAGCTAAGCTAGGAAGAAACTCTATGAAGGAAATAACTAAATCTCTGTACCCCTTTTTCTCGGTGCTATCTGGTAATTATTTCATCAGCAAAAAGTTATATTGCATTTAGAAACATGCATGTGAATTATTTCATTCTAGAATTGAGGTTTTTATATTCTTATTTATTGACTATACATTCTGTCCAAATCATAGTGCTGCACCAGCATTGTCATAATTTGTTTTTATGCTCTGTGAATTTGCATTTTCAATATTGGGTCAGAAAAGTACGCAGTTTATTTTTAAGGCTACTACTCTGTTTATGTAAGTTTGTCAGATTGTATGTGACTACTAGAGTAATTGCCACTTCAGGCAAGTCATTTTTCTGATTCTACTCTTAGGTCAGCACCATCTTCACCAGAAATCTCACCTCAGTCATCTCCTCGGCCCCATAGGCCTAACAATGACCGACTTTCTATTTTAACTAAGCTGGTTAAAAAAGGTGAGAAGAAAGGACTGTTTGTGGAGAAAATGCCTGTTCGAATATATCAGGTAAGAACTGTAGAAAAATTCTAAGGGACAAAATTCACATGTCAGTGTCTATCTTCTAGGTCTGAAAATGCTCCTGTCAGCCTACTTGTGTGCTTAGTTTTACCCATCTTGTCTTTCACACCAACTCACAGAGGTATCTACAGACTCAAGATTGACCAGTACTGTTTCTGACATGCTGTGTAATTGTGGGAAGCCACAGATAACACTGGAGCAGGGTGCTGAGGGGGCAGTAGAGAAAGACATTACCAAAGTTAACTTACTGTGTCAAGAGAGAAAAACAAGTCAGGGTTTACAGCCTTTATATAGAAGTAATATGACAATGATGACCATTAATTACTGCATATCTACTGTGTGATGTGTGCTTTAAGCAAATTACTAGTTATTAAGATACTCTTGTGGAAAAGCAGGGTTTAGTTCCATTTTTCAGATGGGAAAACTCAAAAAAGAAGAATTGAGTAGACACTGTCAGATTTAAATTTATCACTGCTTGACTCCCCATTCCAGACTTTATATGCTAAGCAATAGCAAAGTAGCCAGAACTGGAAGTTTAAGAAAAATACAGTTTTTCACTAAGAAAGTTAAGCCCTCTGAAATAAGGAAAGTATCCTTTCTCCAAAAATAATGGTTTAGAATTCACCTGGTTTTTTGCCTAAATATCCTGAAAGGGTTTGACTTAATGAATAGTGATTCACTTTTTTACAGCTTCTTGTAGTTGAAAGGAAATTTTCTTTCTCCTTTTTTAAAAATTCAAAACATGAGGGTTTTTATGAACTTTTACCTAATATAAAACTCTTGTAACTTAATGTATCACTAAAAATGTTTCCCACATACTAGGTTAATCTGTTCCTTAAAAACAATTTTTTATTAATTTTCTTTTGTAGATGGTGAGAGATGAGAATCTCAAGTTTATGAAGAACAGAGATGTGTACAGTAGTGATTATTTCAGTTTTGTCTTGTCTTTAGCATCATTAAATGCCGTAAGTACTATTTGGCCTAATAATGGAATATGGAACATAATTAAATATACTTTGGTTAGCACATTTATCCTCACTCTCAGTTAACCATTCAGATTAGATGCAAAAATATCCCACAGATGTGTCACTTGCTTGGTGATACTAAAATACAGGTCGTGTTCAAAATGTGTAATGCAGATTATAGAAGGGTTGGGTTTCCACATGCTCACCCTTTTCAGTGCTCTTATTTAGATTTTATAAAGAATCTAAATTTCGCATGAGATGATGTCATTGAATAACAGACTTTGCAGAAATTAGTTTTTCCTAATTCATGATCACATGCTACCACACTCAAGAGTGACTTCTGAGTACTTCTTTTTCACTAGTACCATTATTATAATTTGAAAAAAAGGGGAAAACTTTCTTAGTATGTTCAGAGTATCTTAACCTACTGTGATCTGAAGACGTTTTGAGAGGACTTCTCATGAAAGAAATGAAGAAATATCTTTCCTTAATCTTTTCTTAAATTTAGATGGAACACTTCTATAATGAATGGGCTAAATTTTCTCAGTATTTAAATTTATTATATGTTATACAATTCATAATAACAAGTAGTAGTCTATAAAACTCTTTTGGAAAAAAAAAAAAAAACCCTCTTTTTTTCCCTCCTTCTTTCACAGACTAAACTAAAGCATCCATATTATCCTTGCATGGCAAAGGTGAGCCTGCAGCTTGCCATTCAGTTCCTTTTTCAAACTTATCTACGGACAAAGAAAAAACTCAGGTAAGAAGTAATGTTTTGATAAGTCTGTTGTGACAAAAAGGCACTAGTTATTCAACTGAAGCTGAATTTATGAATTCAAATTTTCAGAATATTGTGAAAGAAACTGACATATTCAGATGATGGCACAGTTCCTACTGTTAAGAAGTTGCTAGCCTAATAGGAAAATGTAGAGTTTTAATTAAAAAAGAACTGTGATACAAGGCTTAGATATTGTGTCTTTGGAATAGGGCAAAATCATTCCCAAAAACAAAGATTAGTAGACGTTAAAAGACATTAATAGTCTCAGAGAATTTTGAAAAGCAAAAATAGAAAAATAGTGAACATTCTACATGAAAAGGAAAAACCTGAGGAACATGTAAGACTTGCCTAAGAGTTGGTATCCTCGTGCTTTCCTCGTACATCGGAGGAGCTCATTTGAGGGGAGGTGGAGTGCTTGGTTTGATGAGCTCATTGCGTGCCCTGAGTGACAGGGAAAGAAGTTTGGCTTCGCTTCATAAGAATTTTGGAGGGTTTTTGAACTGGGGTAGGATAGGGGACAGGGTGTTCGGAGTGAAGCTGTAGATACTACAGACTTTTGTTGCAGCCAGTAAAGTGCCTGGCACATTGTATGCTCTGGGTAACCAACTGTTCTGTGAACAGTGAGTAGTAGCACATTAGTTTGTAAGCTGTACCTTGAACAAAGAGAGACTCAGGATGAAAAGACCAGTTGGAAGACCATTAAGGCGCTCAGTCTTTCCTTTCTTGCTAGTGCAGTGAGCTTTTTCAAGTATGAAAAGGTTTTTGGAGAGATTTTGCAGTGAAGAAGCTTTTGAGAGGAAAAAAAAAATACAATGGCAACTTAATTTTCATTCATCATAATTAAAGCTATATTAAGTGAGACCAGTTTTTATTAAAGAAGAAATAATGTGACCCTTTTATTATCTGGCTAGGACTGACTAAGAAAATTTGGCTGCTTTTATTTGTGAATCTGTTGAAGCTGTCTACACACTATGCAGTTTCCACTGTGTCCTGTATTTACTATTTTGAAACCTGGGGGACGAAAGGGTTAGGGTGATGTGACATCTTGGTAGTAGCAATCTTGGCTGTAGCAATAAAGTACACAAATGTTCATGTAGTAACCTATTCTGAAAGGGTATATTTGGTGATCATAATAAATCAGTTAAGCAAAACAGTACGCTTCATACAGATCAGATACTTTACCGATTGAATTTATTTTAAGAAGATGCAGAAAGCCTAAACTGCTTCAAGCTTTTAGGGGGAGCAGAAGGCAATTGGGAGATGAGTGGCATCAGAAGTACCAAAACCTTCAGAACCCTGGCTGTGGGGTACCAGAGCTATGATGATCAGCAGGCGCTGAATATTAACTTCTCCAGCCTGCCCCTCAAAAAACTAAAATACAGAGTGATACTCTATGAGGCTGTCACTAGAGCCACGTTCCTGATACCACTCTTTGTTTTCATAAAGGGTTGACACTGAAGAATGGATTGCCACTATTGAAGCATTACTATCAAAAAGTTTTGATGCTTGTCAGTGGCTGGTTGAATATTTTATTAGTTCTGAAGGACGAGAACTGATAAAGTAAGTATCAAGATCTTTTCGTTAGAAATTTGTGTGTCTCTCTCTTCGAGTGATTTAAGGTTGAAATTTCTTGCAACTCTATGTCATTGTGAAATAATTTTTCTGACTGGAGTCAATCAGAAGCCACACCTATTGGACTAGACTGGAACCTGTTGGGGGACTGCGAAGCGAGCATGTGTGCCTAGCCAGGGCGCTTAGTGGGAAGGTCCTTCTGCTCAAGGGCCCTGAACCACCAGGCCCTTCCCCTAGGGACTCGCAGTCTGTACCAGGCAAGGTAAACTGGTCGGTAGTTCTAGGTTCCCAAACAGTAATGCCAATACTCTCTCTATGTGTGGGAAATATTCTCAAATACTTTTTAGAAATTTACTGGTAGTATGATACATATGGTAATACATATGATAACATATGTATCATTGCATACTACATTGTGATAGAATGATAGTCGATTTGCTTTTCTTGGTAAAAATTTAAGATGCCCCAACCACTGTGAATGTTTACACCTTATTCTCAATCATCCTCATTCAATTACCTTATCTTGTCCTATGGAAATTCAGTGTTCATATGGGGTCCCAGCAAGCCAGTGTCTTAGTAGCATCTTTATCCCAGTGGGCTCTTCCTTTACTCTGCCTCAGCTGTACCTTCTCACACCCTAAGCTTGCCCTGTTTGCTCACCCCAGTCACCTTGCCTCAGGCCTCATGTGAAAGTACAATGATGAGGTGACCAGTTTTCTGTGCCCTGTCACAACTGCTCACACCAGAGTCTGTTCCCTTCTTCTCCTTTCCTTCTGTTAGTGTGGGCAGCATCCTGTCTTCCCTAAATAAATCCCCGTATGTGCCTGACTTCTCAGGGAAGTGCGCCCTTTAATTATTGACTTCTCAGGGAAGTGGGCCCCTTAATTATTTAATTATTCCTGCATCTTTACCTTCTAGAACTTTCTATTTAGTCACTTCCATCAACATACAAAAATGATTTGGAATCACTGAACTTAAAGATTGACATCAGGGAAGTTATAAATGTAGTCCCTTCCCACAGGATAACAACAGTGTAGTGACAAGTTTGATATCTAATGGAAATTCTTGATCATTCCTCCTCTCTAGGTTTAATCTCTAAACAATTTATTCACTTGCTTGATATCCCAACCTCTTCCAGTTTACCTCCTACAGCAATAAATGTGTTCTTTCTAAAACAAGTGAGATCACTTTACTTCATTTCATTGCTTAAAAATTCTTTTACATGTAAGCAGTATTGTTAGTAATACTCAGATCCTCAGAATCTTTACCATAATCTTACTGACTCTAGTCTTTATCTGTCCTTCTACCTTTCACTTTCATCCTCGTACTTTAGATATATTGATCTGCTGGTTCCTTGAATACACTAAACCACTTTTTCCTGACTAGAGACACTTGTACCTATTACCCCTAAATCCCAAAATTTCTCCCTTCCACTCTTCTCATCCACAGAAGGAAAGAGGCAGAATCTTTCAGCCTCAAATACTTCCAAGAGGGCTAAGTGACAAGTCAGAGTTGTAGAAGAGAAAAGGAAGATAGAAATACAAGCACAGGGAGATCAGAAGGTGCTGACTTGACTCAGAACTTTGACTGAGAAATTGAGAGGTGCCAAGGAGAATTACTCATGAGTAATAGAAGTGACAGACTTTTAGGTTCTTTATTTTCATAGCTTCTTAAATCCAAATCTACATTTATATAGATAGTTATTTCAAGGGAAGACATGAAAAAGGAAGAAAATCCACTTTTCAGGGTTCAAAAATTTTGTTTCACTCTTTGGCCTTCCTCCTTCAGAGGATGTTGTGGGTGTGTGCTAAGGCCGTAAGTTCAGCAGACTTGAACTAATGTCTTAGACACTGTTTCTTGGAGAGTGGGTGGGACCCATGTTAGAAAATCTATGTACTTGTTTACACCACATTTTTCATTTTAGGATTTTCCTGTTGGAGTGCAATGTGAGAGAAGTACGAGTTGCTGTGGCCACCATTCTGGAAAAAACCCTAGATAGTGCCTTGTTTTATCAGGATAAGGTCAGTCTCATTTTTAAAATGGCATGTATACATTCTGCTCTTATCGGATGTTTTAAATTGCACATTGATAAGAAACAGAACCTGGGATTGAAGTCTGGTGATTTTGCCATATAAAATGACTACTGTGAACTTCTTTTCTGATAAATGCCAGTGTAGAAGGAATTCTGTCCTTTTCTCTTCACATTCTAGAAACTAGGGTAGGCTAGGAATGTAGGTCTACTTTGGTTTGCTTCAGTAGTTTTTCTCCAAAAAACACTTTCCAGTGTTTGATTTCAAAAGTTTGTATTAGATCTCACTGAACTGCGGCTAACCTGAGTCTAGAGACTCTAGTACAGACCTTCGACATTTTTTAACACCCTCTACCCCCACAGCTCTTTCTTTATAAGCTATACTCAATATATTCGGTTGCCTCTAAATGGCAACCAAACTTAGTGCCGTGTGTTCAAAGCACTGGCCAAAGTAGTTCATTCACAGGTCTCTACTGTCCCCTAACCTCTGTTCATGTTCCTCTGAATTTCTTCTTCCTAACCCTGCTTCCTGCAGCATGATTTCTGGTTCACAATTCTACACATCCTAAAATAATCTATGATAGTCATTACCCTCCTCAAGTCCCAAAGATTTTAAGTCTTAAGGAAATAAATGAAATACAATGTAAGCCTGATTATTCAATCTGTTATATTAAGTCCTAGCAAATAACAGTTACTTCCCAAGTTTGCTGTTTCAAACAGCTGACACTACATGGAAAACTTTGAAAAATGTTACTTTCAGAAGTAATTGGCTCTAATAAACATTGGCTAGAGGCAGTGTGTCTCAGTGAACTAAATGCAGATTCTAGGAATTACTGTTTCAAATTCAGATGTCAGCTTTGCTGTGGAATCTTAAGCAAGTCTTGAAGGACAATGTTAATCTAAATACAGTAGTGCCTGTTACCCATGCACAGTTAGTTCCTAAGGCAGTACCACCTCAGGAATTTTGCTCAATGCAGAATGAATAAGGAGGTCAAATATATCCATTAGGAAGGACCTAGAAGAAGACTGTTCCTCAATTCCAGGAACCATAAGGAAGTTGTTTACACTACAGTAGTGGCTTTCAATCAATTTAAATAGCAGAACCATTTTTTAAACCAAACCTCGCCAGGCTGCAAAATATGTAAAATAGGCCAACGGGAGCTACTTCAGACAGTTTGAATATCATTGCTCTGAAATACCTTGTTGAAGTTATTAAGATATTTAACACAAAGTCCATCTCATTCTCCTCCTCTTTCCCATGTACCAATCCAAACAAAGGATCATGGTAGAGTTCTTGTGCTCTCCCTCTAGAGGGGGTCAGGCTGTTGTAGATTATCCACCTGCCTCCTACAGCAGGACTGCAGATGGTGGGCAAGGAAGGGTGTGTAAGGACACACACAGGGAGACATTTGACTCAGTAAATTTCACTTGATATCCAGCAGGTGTATTTATGTCTATTTCCTCCCCGTAAAGGAAATTGGTGCCTCTTGCCACCCACTATATTGTAAAGTACTTGGAAAGTGAAGTGCTATGTAAATGCTAGAATTCACTGTATTTATAATGAGTGTGACAGGATGGATGGGAATAATTCAAGAGCCTATGAATACCTTCTTCACAGGAAATGAAATAAACAAGAGTAGTAAGCCTACTCTTAATTCTTAGATCACAGATGAATTTCTAGGCACTTGTCCAAAAACAGCTGGGGTGGGAGGGAAAGAAGAACCAATGTGATAACCAAAATGGTTTCTAAACAAATAAAATGTTTTTCAAAGCTTTCCATGAGGCGTCAGCGGGCTTTCAAGTAAGTTCCCAGTCGAGTCGATATTACCGTTGTCATTCTGTCAGGCTGTTGCTCTCCATCTGCTCCATGGCTTGATTTCTAGCCACTATGCCTGTGTCTGTGTTTTTATTCTTTGCATCTGTGATTATGTGAAGAAGTAGCAGAGTAGAGGGAGGGACTCAGAAATAGGTTTCCTGTAAACCCCCCACCTATATTTAAAAGGGAGAAAAGTTGGCTCTCGAGAAAACATGACCATGAGACGGTAGACTCATGCCCTTGAATCTGAAATGTTGGACATAAAACTAAGGCTTTCCTTTTCACTATTTCAGCAGTACCTTGGAAGATAAACTTTTATGCTCTCCAAAGCATAAATCCATCCAAATCTGAGACTGGATTGTATCAAGCAGATTTTCCTTTTGTTCTTATGGTGGTTTACTTCAGATTAACTTTGTTACAAAAGTCTTTTTCTTTCTTTCTTTATGTGACTTCGTCTTTCTTCATACCAGTCAAAAAGCCTTCATCAGTTACTGGAGGTGCTACTTGCTCTGTTGGATAAAGATGTCCCAGAAAATTGTAAAAATTGTGCTCAGTATTTTTTCCTGTTCAACACTTTTGTACAAAAGGTAAGTGATTTTTTTTTCTAATATTCCTAACATAGCGGGATTTTGTATAGTATAAAGTGCTCCTCTGTTCTTCCAAAGGAAAAAATGTAGTGGTCAATAGAGAACCTGTGTGATGTAGTTTTGTGTTACTCCTTTAAAATCTTAATCCCTCCTTGGTGGCACAGAATTAAAGTGCAGCACTATGAAGCTGTCGGCAGATACTACAGCACAAGTTCAATCCCTGGCCAGGGAGGTGATCCATCTGGCACAGCAGACCACTCCTGTTCCGCCCACTACTCCCCTCAGCAGCATATTTCAGTAGATCTGCCTGTTCTGTTCTCCACTCTGGCTCTGGTGAATCTTTTCACCTCCTCACACCTCTGGCTTATACTAGCCCAGTTCTTGAATGCATAAATAAATAAATCTTTTTAAATAAATAAAATCTTTATCTGTCATTATGTTACTCACATGAATTCTGTATGTGTAGGTTTGGTTACTCATTGATAGCAGTAGAAATCTACATTAAACCTAATGGCTAGCTGCATATTTAGTGGCCATTGTGTCTATCAAAACTTGTCAGTTTTTCTAAATAGATGTTCTAATAAGTGCCTTCTTTATGTAAATGACTGCATTCTTATTTAGCTGTGTTTTAAGATAAATGTTTGTCTGCATAGGAATATAACGTGTTTCCTGTTTTGTGACAGCAAGGTATCAGGGCAGGAGATCTCCTCCTGAGACATTCTGCTCTGCGACACATGATTAGCTTCCTCCTCGGGGCAAGCCGGCAAAGCACTCAGGTACCGCCTGCTTTCAGAGCCTGGGGACACTTCATTTTACTTTGTAGGTGACAAATAGCTTTAATTTCATAAGAAATCAGCTCTGTAGATTTTAAAATGCCTTATTATTAGCTATTCTTATAGCTTCCTCAAAGAATGTAGTCTGCTAATAATGCATGGAAATGACCGGCTAGATGTCACTCATAAAGTGAACTGCCAAGTATCACAGGAGCAAGGTGAATTCAGACAGGGGAAAGAGGCCTCAAAAGCCCTACAGGAGTCATGGATTGGGTCTTCCACTCATGCTCTGGAGTCGGGGGCAAGGCTGTTGTGGGAGCTGTTGCTTCCCAGCATGCTGATGAAGCAGAATTCAAATGTGACGTATTGTTACACACTGAAGGTTTGCAGCAGACACAGGTTACTCATTCAGAAAATGAAAGGGAAGTTGTTTTATAATAAAGGGGCTTTATAGATCTGAAAGTGATTCTGATTTGAAGTTCCTGTATTGGTGTATTTTCGCATCCATTGTATTTCTTTTGTTTGCTAGATTTAAAATACACAAAATGTGCACATACATAATGATCAAACTACTGAAGGCAGGTAGCATAGGCAGTGCATGGCACAGGGAAGTTTGACTCTGTAAGGGAGACAGACATGACGCTTCACCTCCTTGGAGTTTCCGGTCACATCATTGTGCTGCTCTGACTCCCCAGGATTAAAATAAGTACTGACCCCACAGCCTGCTCTGTGTGGGTTTGCTGAGGTGAACAAATCCATCTCTCACTTCAAGCTCTTCCATCTCAGGGGCTCTACTGACATTGGCAACTAATTTTAAGTTCACTGTTATTTAAATATACTCAGTTTTGTTTTTCACTGAAGAAGCACATAAAAATGAAAACCTTTCCACATAAAATGTCTCCTCTGATCCTCACAACCACAGAGCAGGCAGAGCAGGTAGCATTATCTCTGCCAGTAGACACAGCTCAGGCAAGCCATGGGATCGCCACACGCACCAGCACACTGAGCGGCAGCGGAGGGTCAGGCCCTGGGCGTCCAGCCTCACATGTTTTCCCCAATATTCGATTAGCATTCAGTGCATAAATTGGGTGCATAAGTCGTTTTGTTTGGAATGGTAGGTCTGAGGTTTCAGGTGCCCTGAAACCTGAGCCCTCTCATGCCCTGACATCTTCTACTGTCAAACATAGAGAAGTAATTGTGGCCCAAAATATCATGAACAAGCACAACCTTTCCCTTTCATGTTCCTCTCATGTTACTTCTGACTGAAACACTATCATCCACTTTATTTTCTCTGCCGACAGATACGTCGTTGGAGTTCAGCACAAGCTCGAGAATTTGGGAATCTTCACAATACAGTGGCATTACTTGTTTTGCATTCAGATGTCTCTTCCCAAAGGAACGTTGGTAAGCTTTAATGTATCTTTCGTACATGAAGAAAATGAGGAGATGGTGAGTTTGTCAAGAATGCAGAGGCAGTAATGATGTTGGCCATTAAGTTGATACTATTTCTTTCCCATTTGGCTGTTTGATACTTGAGGTACACTAAAAATTTCATTTTAATTCACATTAAATGTCACCACAATGAGGTATCTCACACCAATTAGAATGTTTGTATCAAAAAGACAAGAAGTAAGAACTGTTAGTGAAGTATGGAGAAAAGGGACCCTGTGCACAGTTGGTGGGATGTAATCGGTGCAGCCACTGTGAGGGACAGATTGGAGAGTCCTCAAAAATTTAAAATTGAGCTACCATGTGATCTAGGCGCTGCACTTCTGAAGAAATAAAAGCGCTGACTTGAAAAGACATAGCACCCCATGCTCACTGCAGCAGCGCATAGAGACGGTCTGAGTGTCCGTTGACACATTTAGGAGAGAGAAGTTATGCATATGTAGTATGCGTTGCATATGTGTAGATAGGTATTTTAGATATACACAATGATATATTGTTCAGTTGCTAAAAAGAATGAAGTCTTGCCATTTGTAAGGTAGGTGGACCTTCAGGGCATTAATCTAAGTGAAATAAGTCAAAGAAAGATAAATAGCCTATGATCGCACTTGTATGAAGAATGTAAAAAAAAAAAAAAAAAGCCCAGGCTCATAGATACCAAGAACAGACAAGTGGTCCCAGAGGCATTGTGCCAGGGAGGAGGGCAAAATGGTTAAGGGGGTCAAAAGGTACAACAGTTATACTAAGTCCTGGGGATGCAGTGCAGCACAGAGATGACGGTCAGTAATACTTGTTGCATATTTGAGAGTTGCTAAAAGAATAGATCTTAAAAATCTTATCACCAGAGAAAAGAATTTTTGTAACTCTGCTTGGAGACAAATATTAACCTGACTTACTGTGATTATTTCAGAATATATACAAATATCGAAGTATTGTATTATACATTGGGAACTAATACATTGTTTTTTTTTTTAATAAAAAATAAAGAGAAACATGCACACACATATCCCACAACTACTCATCGACATAAGGAATTAAGTTTTTATATTTTTTATATTTTTACATAGAGAATCATACTAAAGTTTCAAAATAAGAAGTGACAATTTTACAATTTGAAGTTTTAGTAAAATCGATATAGAACATCAGTCCTGAATACATTTTAAACATTGTCTAAGAATTACTCTATCAAACAATTCTTTCTCTTTTTTTCTAAGATTTATTTTGCTTACTTATGCATACAAGAACTGTAGGCCAGAGGTGCTGGGAGTTGAGGGGGTTCGCCAGAGACAGTGGGGAACAAAACAGGCAGATCTACTGAAAAACAATGCTAACTTCTGAGGGGAGCAACAGGCGAGACAAGAGAGGTCTGCTGTGCCGTGTGGGTCAGTTTTCTGGCCCAGGATCAAATTCATGCCAGTGGCTGGTATGAGTGGCTGGCGATAGCTAGTAACACTGAGATTTTAACCCCTGAGCCACCAGGGAGTCCCCAAAAACAATATTTCTTTGTATATATATTTAAAACTATACAGTTTTTCTTGTTTTTTACATAGATTTTTTTTTAGTCATGTTAAGCTTCATTTTATGATTGTCACAAGAGTAAAAGAAAGTCAACCAGTTTTTGGGTGGTGGGCATTGAACTCAGGGTTCATTTAGTACCATAAATGAAAGGGAGAAAAAATCCAAGACATGTGGGTTGGAGTCTCCTAGCTCCGTAAAGTTAACCAAGCTCCAGACCATTTTGGATCCTTAATACAAGATGGAAAAATTAAGACCATAGCCTTGTAGGTGTCATAAGGATTAATGAGATAAAATTTTAAAGGACTTTGTAAAAATAAAAAGGGATTTGGAACAAACTATGTCATTAAAATGCATTGAATTTAAGCTGTTGCTCCTCTTTTTTTAAACGCAGAACTAATAACCTGTTATCTTACTTAATGTAGCTAAGACCGAGGTATCCTGTGTGGTTACCCAGTATTGTAACACAAGTATGCACTATATTTCTATATACTGTTTCTGGGTCTTGTCATGACAGCACCAGCAGTATAGAAGTAATATAGCAGAGCACTAAACAGTGCTCAGTATTTTTGGTGTGCTGTACCTTTTCCATGGTGCAGTAAGTCTGTTGTCTTGAACCTCCTTATCAAATCTCAGAGTAGACAAGGAAACATAAGATGCAAAAGCTTCTGAGCTAGTAAGTGTGCTCAGTAGCCTATCTGTGAATGCAAGCCTCTGACTCTGGAGGCTGTATGTGGTAGGGTGTTGGTGTTATTTGTCAGCAAGATCTGAAGGCAGGAAAGTAAATAAAAATCCCAGTGCATCTCTGATAGAAAAATGCTTACTGACTTTCAAAGGTGACCTTCAAATGGGAGCACTCAGATGGTCATGAGGTAGTTTGCTTCCTCACCTCCATCGCATCTGAATGAAATTGCAGCTTGAGTCCTTGTTTAACAATCCATGTGGGTTCTCCTATCATAGTGGGCTATTTGAGGAACATTCTTGTCCAGGGCAGTGACTGCAGACCAGGGGACTTCAGGCATTTCATATCCTTTCATATTCATACTGCTTTGGAAGATTGTCTTGGGCTGGGGTCACTAGCCCTGAGCTCTTACTAGTCAAACCTACCTTAAGCATACATCAAAAGAGACAGGGGGACGTTCTCTCCGATTTGCCTGTATGGCTTCCCCCACTGCACTGCTAGAGAACAGATTAAGTGCTTAGCAGTTGTGTGTCAGTCTTGCGACTCACATACCTTTAGATACCTATTTCATGAAACAACATCAAGTGAGGTCATCTTGTTTGTTTAATTTCCTGAAGCTCCTGGTTTGTTCAAACAACGGCCACCTATTAGCATTGCCCCTTCGAGCCCCTTGCTGCCCCTCCACGAGGAAGTAGAAGCACTGTTGTTCCTGTCTGAAGGGAAACCTTACCTGCTAGAGGTATGTACTTATTCTAAAGCCTTTCTCTTTTCACTTTGGTCATTCTTTACTTGATGAAAAATGTCCTGTTAGTTACATTTTGCATTTTACTCTGATGGAGAGTTGTTAGGAGAAGAAACGATGCTTTCAAATGAAATTTTCTTCAGCTGTATATGTCAAAGAAATTAATCAGTGGAGAAAAGGATGGATATTTGTCTTCTCTATAACCAAGAATTAGACCTCAGGTCCAGCCCACCAAATTGCCCCTCCAGGTCTCAGGAGGAGGTAAATGGCACCTCACCAAACCCAGTTGCGCAGCTTATTATCAGAGGGCTTTTTTCACAACCTCTTGTGTATCCCTGGAATACTACCGCTCTGAAGCACAGTGTCTCTTAAGCCTCAGGATGTGAAAATAGGATGCTCAGATTGTGGGCATTTCTGCAGTCCCAATTGCTACTTCTTCCACCCAGAGCTACCCGCTTTGAGAAGTGCATCCTTCAGTCCTTCCTGCATAACTTGGTTTACGTGTCTGTGGATCTGTGCACGATATATCATGCTGCACAGTATATCATGCTGGGTTTGATAAAGCAATAGTGCTGTGCTGTTTCTCTTTTTTATTTAGCTTAACTTCGTATTTTGGGTCTGTGGGTGGTATTTGCCTCTGAAATCTGATGGCAAGTGATTTGGGGGAAACGGTACACATTTGTACAGAGTTGTCTTAAATTTCAGGCAGATTTCAGTGCCCTTATATCTATCTATAGACCCCTAAGTGTTCAGAAACCCTACTTTGAGACTGTGAATAATTATCTCAAATCAAGTAAATTTCAGTTGAAACTATAAACAACATATTGACTATTAACTGTGACCAAAGAAAAGTTTACTCCTTTTATATCCTCCCTCAGGTAATGTTTGCTTTGCGAGAACTGACAGGCTCACTGCTGGCCCTCATTGAAATGGTGGTGTACTGCTGTTTCTGTAATGAACATTTTTCCTTCACTATGCTGCATTTCATTAAGGTAAGACCCCAGTTAACCCTCATTACAACTGATGACAAAGCATCTCTTCGCTCCCAAACAGTATGCTTCTGTTAGTGAGCTTTGTTTTTCCTAGCCAGATAAGTCAGGCTTCTCTTAAAAAACTAGAGTAAAAATAGAACTCAAAATCCCACCATTCATTGATGGTCAATAGGAGCATTCTTAAGTTTCTCTTATTTCCTGTGTGTATATTTTAGCATAATTGGAATTTTTATTGTCTTTGTAATTTTGTGTCTTTCTAGTACACCTGATATTTTAAGTGTTTTCCCTTATCTTTGAAAGTTACCTGAGTATATTATTTCATCCTCATTTACCATAATTTACCTAACCATTCTTTCCTAGTTGTACAAATCTGCATTCAGTATTAAGAATAATACCTCATTATTAGTAATATATTGTGTTGTGATGATAATTATTATATAAATTGTTTTACTAATTGCAGATCATTTCCTCAGACATTATTTTTAAAAGTAGATTTTTCTCATCTTCTGAAATAATGACATAGTTAATTAGGAAGCTCTGATCAGTACTTACTGTTACTACTTATGTTGCATTTACTGACTGTCAAGTACTATTCCAAGCATATTACGTTCTAGTTCACTGAATTCTCCAGTAGTCTTGTTAGGCAGCTGCTACTATAATCAGCATCTTACAGTTGAAAACCAGGTACAGGGCCATAACTGCTGGGGCACAGCCAGACTTTGAGCACAGCAGTCTGGCTCCAAGGCCTGGCCTGCTCTTACCACCTTGCGGTACTACTGGAAAAATGGTAAACCTGTACGTACCGTTTTATTAATTCTTGATATTAATTTTTGATTACATGAGCAGTATATGACTACATTTTTGTTATGTGAAAAATTAAAACACTCAAATACCACCAACCAACATTGTCCCCTCACTCCCCTGCCCCAGGGACCAACACTGTCTGTCGCTGTGTGTCCTTCCACCCTCTCTGTAGACTGACACACCTTGGTTCTGCCAGCAGACTTTCTGCTGCAACTTCTCACAATGGGCATTAACAAGTAGCATGGGATTGATTAGAGGATTGTTCTCAGACTCTAATTAATGGGTGTTATACTCATTCTTCTCTGTATCGACCTCTACCTGAGGTAATCTCTCTACTGTTGATTATGTGACTTTGGGTAATTTTCTGTCCTGCAAAATGGGAGGAAATAGGACTTCACAGACTGTGGAGCTACAGTGAAGTGCTTCCCTTAGGCTTAGAGTGTTGTACCGCGATGTCCTTCCCACCATCTGTATGGATACACAGAGGAATGTGCTTTATAATCGCTATAAACCTTTTATAAAACTTGCTGACTTTATTTATATTCCTCACTCATAGAGTACTTATCTTAGGAATTCCTCGTTTTCATCCTATTCCTCATTTTCAGCATATTCTAGAATACAAAATAGGATATTTGTGAATAAAAAAGATATAAATTTGGATATACTTAAGTGACTTAAAATTCTCCCCTTTCCATTTTTCCTCTCACCTTTTAACTTCAAGAGTGTTGCAGCTTGGAGGACCATACAGATTATTTATTTCAGTCCCCAGATTTAGGTCATTGAAGATTCCATAGAAGGGGAGCAAGTCAAATTTGGAGACTCTGAGGCCCAGAAAGGGGACTTGACTTGCCTGCAGTCAGCCACATAGTGGTAGAACTAGGACTTGAACCCAGCACTATTGATTGCCATTCCAGAATACCTTCCACTGAAGAGTTGCTAGAATTTTTATTCTTTTAAAAAAATATTTCAGAACCAGCTAGAAACAGCTCCACCCCATGAGTTAAAGAATACATTCCAGCTACTTCATGAGATATTGGTAAGTCATAAATATTCTTCTTCATTTGTACAAGTGAACATGTGTTTTAAAGTTTAAAATGAATACATTTGCATGCATTTTCTCTGTGCTTACATTGAGTTCTTTTCATATCATTTTTTGTACTTTTTGACTTAGAGGTGAACGATAATGAAATGATCTTCCAGAGTTCAGAGTTTAGAGCCCATCGAGTACACAAGGAGTTCTAGTGCAGAGAGCAGAGGGGTGGTGGACATTTTGTATATGCTGGGCATGGGTAACTTGTTTCGACCTTACCATAACCATCAGAGGCCGCGCTGGCTCTGCAGTTCATTCATCTCTAAGAAACCGCTGTCTTTGTGCTACTGAAAGTGCTCTTAAGAGCCATGAAACCAGAATCTGATAGACTGTAGTTCACTTGCCAATGTTGGACCTTTGAAGGGCCAGGGGAGGGGTGTCAGTAATCACTCACAGTCAGCAAAATACTGTATTATTGGAAGCTGGAACTTCAAGAGGTAGAGTGACTTGCCCAGGAACTCCTTTCTAATAAATGACAGAGCCAGGATCTGAGCCATGAGTGGACCTGGAGCCTACACTCGACACCAAACCCCTGGTTTCCTTCGCTAATTATAAGTGCTGTGACCAGAAGCAATAGTAACTGAGCAGAACTTGGGGAAAGATGCCTAAACCAGACCATGAAGGGTTTCAGGTGCCAGTGAATTTCTTCCTGCAGGTGCACACTAGTGGCCAAGTTCCATTTATGTGCCTGTTGTGTTTGGGCCAGACCATTTTGCTCTTAGTTTTTGGGTTCCAGTCTACCTTGAAAAGTCAGGTATGTTGGCCCCATTTCCTGCAAGCCCAGCCCCCTGGAGAGGAGCAGCACGCTCCTTCAATGAGGCATATGTCTCTAGGCCTCCACTATACTCACTGCTTCCTGGAGCCCACTTCATTCATTTCTTGTCCTACTGGCCACTGCAGGCATTTAACTTTGCAGCCTCTTCCTTCAGAGATGGAGCACCATGGAAAGATTGTAAGCAGGGGAATTATGTGGCCTATGTCTTAGAAGACTCCCCTGGACTAAAAAAGGAAGTGAAGTTAGAATTGTAAGGCTATACAGGAGTCAGTGACAGTAGTCTAAGTATGTATGAAGTAGTAAGGCTTTGACTGAGGAGGAGGCAGAAGAGAACACTAGATGTTTTGGAAACAGAAACACTAGAATTTGGTGACTGATTGTGAGCTGTTAGGAGAGACAAGCCCAGGGGCTCCTTAAAAAGAGGGAGAGACGG